CATCCATCCATCCACCCATCCATCCATCCATCCATCCATCCTACAATAACTTCAATAATTTTAACATCAGTAAAAACAAATGAAAAAATACAAATAATTTCAGGTCACAAAAATTGTTTAATGAATTTATTTTTGTAACAAAAACATTATTCTCCAGCTTCATAATGATGCAGGCTGTATCTGAAGCCCACTCACAGCTGGCACACTTTTTCTTTCTACTTTTTGTCTGGAAATGTTGAAAAACACACAAATACTGGATATAGAAAATATAATATCTGAATAAACTGGCCTGTCTGACAATGTGACTATTTAATGTTTATGATGTTCAATCATTACTGTCTCTGTCGTTAGTTGGTCTACATAACTTCGGAATTATTATGCAGTGTAACCAGTCAACAATCCAATAAAGTCCATATTTTAAATGGTTAATGTCAGTAAATAATATATTTGACAACAGATAAAATCGATTTTAAATATGGTTAAATGTGAACATTGAAGCTTTTTAATGTTAGCATACAGGTTTTATGATTAAAATAATAATTTTTTGGTAAATATGCATAATATTTACCTGTGAAACATAACCCTTTTAGCTCTTGTAAACATGTTGTAACAATTTCTGCAGTTTATAGCAAAGTGTTTGTACCATTTGTACATTTATAAAGTGTTTGTTTGCTCTACATTCTGCTCATTGATTTCAATGGTTAGTGTTAGCATTAGCTCAATGCATAAAAATCCCCCTTGTGAAACACACCCAGGTCACGTGACGCCCAATCCAGTGATATATATCAATGGTTCTGTCCATAAAAGTTATGAAGAGAACCGGTGAGAACAGGCAGACCTGGTGGAGCCCAACTCCCACCTACTTCCTGTCGGCAAGTACGAAATGCAAAGGTTATTTTATTACCAGGTAGAAGTGTAAATATATGTATCACATATCAACATCATGTAAAGTTCCCTCGGGGCATTGTGTGTTTCAGTCAATAAAATTTCAACATTTTCTGTCATGTTTCAACAGCGTGACTGTAAATCATTTAGATTTGCAGCTGCAGTTCTCACGTCTCTGATCAGGTTGGGCCCCGGGGACCAATGGTTGTAATTTTCTATGATTTCAGACCAAACAACCAATTGAAACACAACAATTAAATTGATGAATAGCAGAAACAACCATAAGTTGCTTCGTGAAACCATAAAATTGTTTATATTCTCACAGTGAGAAAACACTCCTTTCAATTTAGGATGAGGTTCTCACAGAATGTAAGTTGATCCCATCATCTGGATAAAATCGCTGAGGAATGATTTCTTAAAAGATTGTCCTTAACTCATTATTATGGAATAAGCAAAGATTTGGCTTTAATGACTTGTGGTTCAGTTCAACATCTGACAGCCATTATCCCGAACTCTAACCAGGTTAATGCTAATGCGGCCAATATGTGCTCGGGTGACAACTTCAGTACCGTGGACTTAAACACATTAAAAAGATCTGAGAGGGAGTCAGTTTCCTCTTTAATGAGCCATAACAGTGACAACCAGGAAGTGGAAACCCTACCTGAGGCCCCCAGATGAAGAGCTTTAAAAGACTGCTGTAAAGACGGGACAGGAGGGCAGGAGTGGAGGAGTGAGGAGGGAGTTCATTTCATGTGGTTGTCGCTAAGAAGAATCTGCTTCGCTTCAACGTCTCAGGGTTAGAGAAAGGCTGGTTTTCATTCGGTGCCGGTCTGTTCATGGCTCGCATTTGGATCGATTCAAAGGAAACAGGAGATATGGTGTTCGTGAGAAGAGACGGATTTTATGAACTCTGTCGTCTCGCCATACCATTAAAGCACAACACCACAGAGATATTCCTCCTCTCTGTTTCAGAGTCACACTTTCCATACGTCCTCCCCCGGTGGCCTGTTGTTTGCTGCAGACAAACCAAACCACAGGCAGAGTAATATTTACCCAGCAGAGAGAGAGAGAGAGAGAGAGAGAGAGAGAGAGAGAGAGAGAGAGTCACCCTTGTCCAACCCAACCCTAATAAAATACCCATCCAATTTCTGACTTTCTTCTTGTTTTTAGTACATCTTTTACGAGTTGCTAAGTTGGATGAGGTCATTTGTGGAATCTGTGTAACGACACCAAAAAAACCCCAATTATCTTTTACATTCATACCAAATAAACGGCCCAAACAGAAATCAACAGGAGGATCAGAGAAATCTGTTGCAGAGAAAGCGACAGCAGGAGGCTCAATCTTGGAAGCAGCTCAGCTCATCAGGAGGCTTCGCCCAGCAGTATGCTCCACATGAAATCAGATTTAATGTTGTTGGTTTTTTTTTTTTTTCGGTTTGTTTGTTTCTGAATGAAAGCAGATACTGGCTGGGACACATTTCTTTTATAGGCATATTCATAAGTTGGTCTGACCAAGTCAGCACCACTTAAATCCACATGCCTGTTTAATTAAATAAAGAAGGAAACGCAGCTGACCTATGATGAGTAGCTTTCTGGGCAGGTAGTCATCATCACTCATCTCTTTTTTTCCCCAAATGGTTGCAGTTTTGGTTTACTTTTTTCCATGGGTTTTAGCGTTGGTATTTTTGCAGCATCAACTTGATGCAGAGATCAAGGATTTCTGAGTGATTCAGGTGCCACTTGTGTCTCAACATGAGACAACCTGAAGGTGGAAGGAGGGATGGTAAATGGTACATAGGTAGCCTGACCCATTGCCTTCCTACAGCTCTGCTCAATTCTAGTTTTCCTTCACTTCTCTGCCATGCTGCACCGGTGCAGTAATTCATACAAAAGGAGGCCCAACCAAATATTGAGTGAAGAAAAATGACCCCATTTTTCAGATGCCAGACATTTCAGTTTCACTTTACTTTCACATTTCTTCATGCAAAGTAACCACCACTGTCACAACAGTGTCATAACCACTGTCATCCACCTGCAGCACCGATGTCTCTCTCACCTAGAGCAAGCAGGAAACACTGTGAGGGTCATGTTCTTTGACTTCTCCAGTGCTTTCAACACTATCCAGCCTGCTCTGCTCAGAGGGAAGCTGGAGGGTGCCGGAGTGGACGGGCAGCTGACAGCATGGACCATCGACTACCTCACCAACAGACCACAGTTTGTGAGGCTAAGCGACTGTGTGTCTGATGTGGTAGTCTGCAGCATGGGGGCACCACAGGGCACGGTCCTCTCACCCTTTCTGTTCAGTCTGTACACGTCAGACTTCAGGTACAACTCGGACCACTGCCACCTACAGAAGTTCTCAGATGATACGGCCATCAATGGATGCGTATTAGACGGGAATGATGAAGAATACAGGGGGGTCATCAGTGACTTTGTTGGCTGGTGTGAGACCAACGCTCTCCAAATCAATGCCAGCAAGACAAAGGAGATGGTCATAGACCTCAGGAGGAAGCCACCCCCCACAGCACCGGTGAACATCCAGGGAAAAGACATTGAGACGGTGGACTCTTACAAGTACCTGGGTGTTCACCTCAACAACAAGCTGGACTGGACTACGAACACAGACGTCCTGAATAAGAAGGGCCAGAGTCGACTCCACCTGCTGAGGAGACTGAGGTCCTTTGGTGTCTGCAGGACTCTGTTAAAGACATTCTACGACATGGTGGTAGCATCTGCCCTTTTCTATGGAGTGGTCTGCTGGGGGGCGAGATGTACT